GCTGATCCCATATCCCATATCCATATCCTGATCCCATATCCCATATCCCATATCCTGATCCCATATATTTTTTCCTGTCCCCAGACKGTCACCCAGGTGACGTGGCACCCCAAGGGCGATTACTTTGCGTCGGTGCAGCGCGGGGCGGGTTCCCAGCAGGTTCTGCTGCACCAGAGCAGTGACCCCAAAGGCGATTACTGGGCTGATCTCATATCCCATATCCTGACCCCAATCCCATATTTTTCTGTCCCCAGACTGTCACCCAGGTGACGTGGCACCCCCAAAGGCGATTACTGGGCTGATCCCATACCCCATATCCCATATCCAGGATAACAATTCTATATCCTATATCCATATCCCATATACCATATCCCATATCCTGACCCCAATCCCATATATTTCACCCCACAGACGGTCACCCAGGTGACGTGGCACCCCAAAGGTGATTACTGGGCTGATCCCATATCCCATATCCTATATCCATATCCCATATCTCATATTCCATATCCAGGATAACAATGCCATATCTATATCGCATATCCTGACCCCGTATCCCATATCCTGACCCCAATCCCATGTATTTCACCCCACAGACTGTCACCCAGGTGACGTGGCACCCCAAAGGCGATTACTGGGCTGATCCCATATCCCATATCCCATATCCAGGATAACAATCCCATATCCCATATCCCCTGTGCCATATCCTGACCCAATATCCCATTTTTTTACCCCACAGACAGTGACACAAGTGACGTGGCACCCCAAAGGCGATTAGTGGGCTGATCCCATGTCCCATATCCCATATCCCATGTCCCATATACCATATCCCATATCCTGACCCCAATCCCATATTTTTTTCCCCACAGACTGTCACCCAGGTGACGTGGCACCCCAAAGGCGATTACTGGGCTGATCCCATACCCCATATCCCATATCCAGGATAACAATCCCATATTTTTCACCCCACAGACTGTGACACAAGTGACGTGGCACCCCAAAGGCGATTACTGGGCTGATCCCAT